CCTGTGTCTGGTGCAGCGGTTGCTCCTCTTGGAGATGATGACGAGACAAATTTTGAGTTGTTAGTTAAATACTTAGGAGTGACTGATGAAAAGGCTACTGAACAATTGCACAAATACAGTGATGAGTATGTGAGTTTGTCATGGTTACGGGCACGATTCTCCAATGTTTCAGACACAGATTCAGAGGAGTACGTCATGTATTCGGCCAGGGCATATTTGCTATATCTCTTGGGTTGCACTTTGTTTGTTGACAAGACTGGCACGAGAGTCCAAATTGTGTACCTTAGACTACTTAGAAACCTTGATAGTGTTGCTGGTTATTCATGGGGTTCTGGGTGCTTAGCATGGTTGTATAGACAATTAGGCCAAGCTTCGAGGTCTAAGGTGAAGCAGATTGCTGGGTACATGACTTTGCTGGAGGCATGGGTGTATGAGCACATGCATGGTGTTGTTGTCCCTGATCATGACCTTGATTATTTAGAGGTCCAGCCTCGTGCACTTCGTTGGATTCCACGTCGAGACAATGGCACAACGTCGGTAGACGTGCAGAAGTATAGACAACTGAATATCTACACATAAAACTCATATTATTTAAATATAAAATTTGAAACATTAATGCAACGTTAATGATATTAAAAATGATTTCAGATAAATAATTACCGAATAAGTTGTGAATTGATCACTATAGTCCATTACACATTCTGTTCCCACATTGTTGCCTTCAGTAGGGGCGTCACCTTGATTTTGTTCCTTCAATGGGAGTAAGATCAAAATAGCTTGGATTAAATTTGTGGTTGGCAATAAGTTACTGAAAAAATAAATAAATTTCGGTTGGATGCCACTGAAATGCGGGTAAAATTTCGGTAGCACACCACTGAACTACGTTCCATATTACGGTGGATCCCCACCGAATATTAAGTTTCTCACCGGTGAAATACAACCGAAAAATGCGCAAAGTTTCGGTGGCATCCCACCGAAATTATCTGTCGCGTTCGGTACTGATGTGCTGAACACAACCAGCGACTGTTATGAAATATTAAACTTGCAAAACGCCAAAAAATAAACTCGTACCTCATTCGAAACGTCTCTAACTTCAATCTCACCCTTCATGAATAAATACAATATATTTTTTCACCAGTATAAACTTATAAATCTTGGGTTTAGGGTTTAGGAACATGATAGTTTGAGAAAAAAGTCAAACTAGGGTTGCAGGAACATATGTGGGGTGTAGTGAGCAATTTTAATTTTAATTTTAATTTTTTTTGTCCTTAACGGTAATTGTGTACAAGGGTAAAATAGGTTATTTATATTTAAAATTAGTATGGGGTGTAAAGAGTAATTAATGGGGTGCCAATAAAATCACCCATACATAAATTGAGATGTACACAAGTAATATTAGGGAATTGAATGTAGTACTATGCTCGGAAGAGTCAAAGCATCAGATATGAGATCAATACAACAACCAGACAAAATATGATAGATATGCAAATAAATAAACCAAACAACACACAAAGTTGTATATGCCAAAAATACACATGAACCCTAATCCTATTTTTAACTTTTCTTCAAGCAATGAACAACAACCGCACTGACCACAAGATCCGATAAGAGCTTAACTTTATTATATCAATGTAGGAACACGTATTTTCTGTAACCATTCAGAAAGTGACACATGGAAGATGGAATATTCCTTAAATAAAATAATTGTGCTAATTAAAATCCCATTTAATGAGCCAATTATCCTGATTTAAGATAGAAATATCTCCCTAAATCAAGGATTTAATTTTCACCAAATCTGCTTGATTTATCATATCATCTTATTTGTGGGAATTATTTTCCACATAAGGTAATTCCAAAATCCTAGCAAAAATACATAAGCCTCTCAAGCCACCTCTCTCTCATGGCTCACCATGCATGGAGTATGCCTCGTTAAAAACCTTGCCAGTAAAACCCAGTAGGACAAAAACTGGTCGAAGGGAAAAAGAGTGCATAACCATATGTGTAACATAAAATTCTGTGCATATAACACTGACACGCGTGCGACATTGCCTCGTTAAAACCTTGCTAGGAAAAACCCAGTGGGACAAAAATCTGAACGAAGGAAAAAGAGTACAGTGTGTGAAGATCTTATTGATGGCATGCTCCCCCTGATGCTCACAAAATATCTTTAAGCCATATTGTTGACCATATTTTGATTGTCGTAATTGGCATTGCTTCCGTGAATCAATCTTGCAATATTATTGGATGATCCCCTTGAAGAATTACTCCTCTTGATGTCTTTATACTTCTTTGATAATCCAACATAAATGATATTGATCACACATCCATCCTTCACAGAGTGATCTTTGGTAATGCTTGCATAAAAATTTCTTCAATATCATCATTGGAGGATATGTGCATCATTCTTTTGAATCCTTGTTGAGGTTAGAGTAACACCAAAAATATCTAGACTATTTTCAAAAATTAACAATTCTTAAAATAACATCATATTCTAAAATATCATCAAAATAATAATATAAGCAAATTCATACGTTACCATTACAAGGATAAGAGTATAAAATTGCACGATGTAATATACTATTCATATAAATTTTTGTATACTATGCTAGCTTGTCATAGGCTGTTCAAGAGACCTAAATATTCTGATAACTTCTTTTAAAAATTTGAATACGTTGCAACGATTTTGAACTTGAATTTGAATTCATAACTCAGTCAATACCCTCACTTGAGGCAATTAGATCATTTTCATTTCATGAAAATTGAGTATAGACATTAAGCTTTAGGCTCCTTAACTTCTTAGAGATTTACTTCAATAATTTATATAATGTATGGCATTTTACATCTCTTAGAATTTATTCTTATGTATTCTTCAAAAGATCATTTCTGCGATATGCTTAACTTCATAATCTTTTAGATTTTTCATCTCCAATTCATTTATTAAATTAGGGGAATCCTTTGTAAACTCTTCAAGAGTTCTAACAAAATTCTTCATATATATACTGCAATGATGGTAAACTCATTTCCAAATTATTTATATATCCATTTTGTAATAGATATTCATTAAGACAATTATACCATATTCTTCCACAATACTTTAATCCACACAAGGATCATTACAAGCCACCATATTTTAATCATTTGCTTCAGGCATTCTGAATCCTTCAAGAAATTTTTATACACATGAATTTTTCATAAATATGCATAACATAGCTGCATATGTTTACCGTCATAATCCCGTATCTTTACTAGGAAACGTTGTGCCATATCATCAAGTGATTTATTTCACTTCATTTCAAACACCAATTTGTAACATATACATTTTTATATCCTTGTGGTGTTTAACTATAGATTCAATCATTGCACTTTTTCCGGAAATATCCAACTTTACTGGATTGCCTCTTCCAGTTGGCTAATCTTTATTTATATTTGTCGACAATTATAACAAGTGGTGCAATATCATTATGTATAGCCCTTGATAACTTTAGTACATACTAGAACCCAATATATCATCAATTCATGATCCCACGATTCTAATGTGCATGCGCATGCATAATTTATAAGCATCTCATTGCTTTCATTATTTTCTGGTACCAGTGCCACTTCAGAGGCTTTCATTGTCACTTCATGGACAAATATCTCTTCTAAGATGTATAATTTATAGAATGTGGATCATAACCTCTTCTAGAGCGTTATTTTGAATAGGGCTTAAACTTTGAAATTAATCTTATCTTCTAAGGAGTTAAGTCTTTTGAACCTATAGATCTGTCATGCTTCAGGCATCTAACAGCTTTTATGGGGAGTTCAGTTTTTGCAATCTATAAATCTGTCATGCTTCAGGTATGCAACAAATTGGCTATTAGTAGTCTCTTACTTTGTGTCTGTATATGTTTCTTGTCATTTGACTTACAATCCTTTTTGTGTTTGAATATGCTTCTAGCATTTATCTTTAATACCAATTTGTTTGATGAGACAATAATAAATACATTTCATAATCATTCACGACATTATTTATTCTTTCAGGAACAACTAAATCTCCCCTTAACGACGGGAATTTTGGTCTCATCAAAATAATACCAAGAATGTCATAAGTATCATCCTTTGGGAACCTTAATTCATGTCGTAAGTATTGTCCTTTAAGAACCTTAATGCATTCGGCGTGCATCATATTAATATTGACATGTTAATGGGTTGTCATTCTAGGACTTTAATTTATGCAGTGTATTATCAATGTATTCAACTTGCAATCTTCAGAATTTGCACTGTATTTAATCATTTAGAAATGGATACATATCAGGATGATTCAAGCTTTTCCTCTAAAATGGTCTTTTGTATGTAATCCAAGTCATTCTTCTAGAATGATATTTTGTATATAATGCAAGTCGTTCTTCTAGAACACTCTTTTGTACATAAAACATGTCGTTCTTATGGAACGATTGCTTACATGCCATTCTTCCAGAATGGTCTTATCTTCTCATTCTGTGCTTTGAACTACTGGTTCAAATTACATATATAAAAAAATTAAAATTAAGAACCAAGGAACTCGAAAGTTCCAATTAGAATTTGGTTACAATATTTTGATTCCATTGTGGAAAACATGATAAATATATAATTTTTCAAAAAAATTTGATTATGAACTTCAGGTTCAAATTAAAATATCATATATGTTATGCCAGAACTGCAGGTTATTGACAATGTATGAACTGTAGGTTCTTGATAAGGTATGAACTTCAGGTTCATATTAATATTAATCTCAATAAAAATGATGAACTTTGGATATATATTTACATATATCTGGAACTTCAGGTTCGAATACATATACCAAATTTAAAAAACGATATTTGGTTTTGAACTTCAGGTCCATATTTGTATTAATATGATATTTTTCAAGGTAATAAAATAAAACGATAATAATAATAATAATAAATTGAAAAAAATCTGAAATCCAAACAATGTCGAAACTTCAAGTTCTTAACATGATGTATATTTTTCAACCCAAAATCATAATACATATGCACTTGTTGAAATATCAATTTGAAGGTTGACACAATTAGAACTCCAGGTTCTAGAATTTCCCTTTTTAGAATTTAATGCACATGCGGCCGAAACTTACAGTTTGAATTAGATATAATTAGAACTTCGGGTTCTAAGATTTTTGAACTTCATGTCATATTAGGAACTTCAGATCCTTAATTATAAATTATTGAAATGAAAACAAAGAACTGAATATAACAACAGAAATAAAATAATAATAATAAAGATACTGTAATAAAATAAACTATTGGAATTTCTGGTTCCAGTTAAAGAAAATCAAAGAACGCCAAGTTTTGTTTTGGTTTCTAAGAATTGCATAATTCCAATTCCTTGTATAGATATTAGATGGATTGAGAACTAAGAGACTTCGAGTCTTTATTTAATTATATAAGAATAATGTAGGGACTTCAGGTTCTTTCATAAAATAAAAAAAATGAAACAAAAGAAAAGAACCAAGTAAAAGTGAAATACAACAAAAATAAAATAAAATATTACAATAAAATAAATTGTTGAAACTTCTGGTTCTAATGAAAAAAGAATCAAAGCGC